ATCCACCTCCCAGTCCACGTACGTATACGTATACATCATTTCAGCGTCGTCCTCATCCTCCTCCTCCGCCTCCTCCTCCTGATCCTCGTCCTCGTCCAACTCCACCTCCTCCTCATCCTCCTCATCACCGCCACCATCACTATCTCCCTCACCATCACCATCATCATCATCATCATCATCATCATCATCCTCATCATCTTGCTCATCACCATCACCATCATCACATCATCATCAGCAGCAGCATCATCATCAGCAGCATCAGCATCATCATTGTCATCATTACCATGGCCATCCTGGTCATCGTCGTCATCATCATCAGCATCAGCATCATCAGCATCATCAACAGCATCTCCATAATCGTCATCGGCATCATCGTTGTCATCATCTTCACCATCATCATCATTGGCCTCATCCACAGCAGCATCATCAGCATCACAATCATCGTCACCACTATCATCATCAGCATCAGCATCAGCATCCTCATCAGCAGCATCACCCTCGTCGTCATCCGAATCATCTCCATGATCACCATCACCACCATCGCCAGCATCACCATCATACTATGTCTCGGTGTCATCATCGCCAACACCATCAACCTAAGCATACCAATCAGAATCGAAGGCATTACCACAGTCAGCAGAATCATCATCATCATCGTCGTCAGCATCATCGTCATCATCATCATCACCACCATCATCAGCAGCAAGATGTCATCATCATCCCAATCCTCATCAGCATCATCACGGTTACCATCATCACCATCATCATCATCGTCATCACCATTATCATCAACATCCTCGGCATAATCATCGCCCTCATCTTGATCATCATCATCATCATCATCATCATCATCATCATCATCATCATCATCATCATCATCATCATCATCATATCATCATCATCATCATCATCATCATCGGCGACGTCGACGTTATCGTGATGACCATCGTCGTCGCCGCCACCATAGTAATAACCAGCAGCACAAACCTCACCATCACCATATCATCAGCAGCAGCGACCGCATCATAGTCATCATCGCCACCACCACCACCACCATCATCATCAGCATCAGCATCGTCATTGTCATTCTCATCATCAGCATCAGCAGCAGCATCGTCATCAGCATCAGCATCATTCTCAGCATCCAATTCGTCATCATCATCATCACCATTATTATCATCGTGATTACGATCGCAAACGTCATCGCCATCGTCCTCGTCGTCATCGTCAGCAGCATCGTCGTCATACCGTCAGCATCGTCGTCATCAGTAGCAGCAGAAGCATCATAGTACTCATCCTCGTCTTAACTATCGTGTGCACTATCGCCTGTGTCACCGTTACCGTCATCATAAACGCAACCAACATCATCATAACGTCATAAGCATTACCATGATCATCATCGTTATCAGCAACATCACCGTCATCAGCATCATCAGCACCCGCATCATCGGAACGTGCATCATGATTATCGTCAGCCTCACCAACAGCATCGTCATCGTTATCATGGTCAGTACCATCACCCCCGTCATCATCATCATCAGCATCATCAGCATCATCACCACCATCAGCATCATCATCATGATCGTCAGCATCGTCAGTAACTTCAGCATCACCCGCATCATCACCAGCATCGCCATCATCAACAGCAGCATCAGCATCAGCATCACCAGCAGCATCATCAGCAGCGCCATCATCATCACCATCACCATCACCATCAGCATCAGCATCCTCATCATCATCAGCATCATCATCATCATCATCATCATCATCATCATCATCATCATCATCGTCATCATCAACATCATTACCATTGTTCCCACGTCGTCCTCCATAATCCATCCTTCCCCGTCGGGGCGGCGTGTCTGCCTCACCATCATCCGCCGGTTGTCGTAGACGTCCGACTCCGCCTTCTTCAGCGCCTACCGACGGCAGGGGAGGGCGGGCCTCAGCGGCGCGGGGGAGCAGGAGGGGGTGGGAGCTGAGCGGGAGGAGCAGGAGGAGGCAGAGGACGGTGACGAGGAGCAGATTCCCAAGCAGAGGGAAGAGGAGGATGAGCGATGGCAAGGGGAAGAGCAGGACGAGCAGGAGTGAGGAGAAGGGGCTCTGTGCTGGCGGGGCCAGGGGCGCAGAGTGACTGGCGGCCAACGGCTGCGCGCCGAGGAGCGCGATCGAGGGACGACGGGCACCTCCCAGGAGGGGGGAGGGGGGAGCCAACAGGGGGGCCCAGTGCCTCCCCCAGGAGCACACGAGCCCAAAGCACGGGAGCGGCCCCGGGACCAGGCCACCGCCTCTAGGCCTCATCTAGGGGGCCACATGCGAACCCTGCCCCTACCCCCCTCGATTTCTGAGGGGCAGGGTGGGGTTCACCTCGTTCGGGAGCTCCCGAGCGAAGTGAACCCCCCCCCTCCCCCTCAGAAATCGTGGGGGGTAGGGGTAAGGGTTCGCATGTGGCCCCCTATCATTGAAGGGGCCCTGGGACACACAAATAAATACACACAAATAAAAATATGTCCCATATTTTCCTATATTTTCTGGGTTTCTGTCTTCCCCCCCACTTCCCATATTTTCCTATATTTTCCTGGGAATCGACGATTAATTGTGTCTGTGTGTTTTTCCCCCTCCTGAATCATCCTCATCCTCCGACACGGGCAGGACCTCCAGGTCCTGAACAATGTGGTGGCCGAGGGCGAAGGAGCCAAAGAGGGGCACAGTCGAGGCGTTGACCTAAGGAACCCAAAATAGGGAACGGGGCCTCATGTCTCCATAAGCCAAAAACTTTGACTTCCCCTCGAAAACCCAAGGAAAACCTCAGGCAAGCTGCAAAACCATGAAGGAACACGGAGCCCCTCCCCAACGAGAAGGGTTCCTTCTTCAGCGCCCTGACTGTAGGTCCCAGGCCGCTTCCCGCACCCAGAAGCTCGGCTCCACTGCGCGGGCGACGGCCACGCCACAGCTCACGCCGGCGGCCCCCGGCGGCCACAGACCCGCGCGGGCAGGTCCCGTGGCAGGCGCGACCGAGCTCCCGGGCGTCGTGTTCGCACTGTCGGCGCCGCAGGCACTGCAGGACACAGAGGCGCCAGCCGTCCAGGCCCGGTGGCCAGTGCCTGGCTTACACGGGCTAGCTTTCATAGGGGAACGAAAAGTGGCATACACATAAAAACTCGGAGGTCCGCGCGGATGTCTCGGATCGGAGCTGGGCCCCCCTCCCTGGCGCGCGGAGCGCGCCCGGGGCGGCGCAGGAGGCGCCGCTTGGGGGGCCCCAGCGCCGATCCGAGAAATCCGCGCGGACCTCCGAGTTGTTATGTTTATGTCACTTTTTGTTCCCCTGGCCTGAGGCCTGGACGGTGCCGCCAGGCCCCAAAGGCCACCCGAAGCCACCCGCGGCCACCCCGTGGGAGAAACCCGACGGGGCCCGTGGGCGCCCTCGGGGGGGGCGCAGAGCAGGAGAGCCGAGGGGGCGACTCGCCGCCCCCTCCGAAAGAAGTCCCTACCTTTACGTCGGGCGTGTCCCCCTACAGGGGGATCTTCTACGAAAAATTGATAGAAAAAATATCCCAAGAAGGTCAAAAAATATTCAGAAAATCGCCCCCAGACTATTTTTAGATTCTTTTGTTGGCTATTTTTGGGGTATTCCTCATTTTTCGTCGAAAATCCCCCTGTAGGGGGACAGGCCCGACTTAAGCCTACCTCTCGGAGGGTGGCCGACGACAAGCTGGGCCCGGCAGCTCCCGTCGTCCTGGCCAGGAACTTGCCAACATTGGGGGGAACGAGCAATGGCATAGACATAAAAACTCTGAGGTCCGCGCGGATTTCTCGGAGCGGCGCTGGACCCCCCAAGTGGAGCCTCCGGCGACGTCCCTGGCGCGCTGCGCGCCAGGGAGGGGGGTCCAGCACCGATCCGAGAAATCCGCGCGGACCTCCGAGTTTTTATGTTCATGTCATTGTCCGTCCCCTACACATAATGGACCAACTGGTGAGACTTGACCACACGCTCCTGGGCTAATTACCATGTCAACAGGTTGCATCTGGGCGCCACGGCGCGCCGACTCATCAGCTGCGAAGCAGAGGAGAGGGAAACTGGCAGGGGGAATGGGAAGGGGAGGGACGGGAGAGGGCAAGGGAGGGGATTGAATGAGAGGGGAGAAGGGGGCGAGAGCAGAACAGAGTGGTGGGGAGTCGGGGGGGGGGAGGCGGAGGGGGCAGCAGGGGAGGGAGCACGCGCAGTCCTGCTTATCACCAAGTATACTCGCATACCCACACGCACATCCGCCACCGTGCCCCTCGGCACGGAGCAGGCGTGTTCTCCGGTCCTGCCCTCACTCCTCAGGAGCCTTCAAGTGGCCCCGATCCCACATCCCGAGGTCTGCCGGGGCTTCCAGCGTGGCCCCATGGGCGCCCCCGCACCTTGTCGCGCCACTTCTTCGGGCCCGAGAGGGCCCCAAGACGGGCCAGAAGGGACCCAAGGGGCCCCCCCCAGACGGTCCAGCGGGGCCCCGAGTCACCGAACGACCGCTCCGAGACACTCCAACTGGCCTCCAAGAAGCCTCCCTAGAGAGCTCCAAGAGGCAGGCCGAACTCATTGATGTCCCGTTGGTTTTTGAAGGTGTGTGGCGTTCTCACCGTTTCGGCTTCCCGACGCTCCCAGACGGCCCAAGAGGCCCCCAAGACCACCCCAAGACGGCCCAAGAGGCATCCAAAAGGGCCCCAAAACGGCCCAAGATGACGCCAAGACGGCCCAAGAGGCGCCCAAACAGCCCAAGAGGGCCGCAAGATAACCCCGTAACCCCTAACAAAAGGGGTCCAAGAGAACACGAACCGAAAATCCGAGCCTTCCGCCCCAGGAGGCCACGCAACCGCGTGGTGACCCCGAACCCCCGCTCACTACCACGCGGTGCGGTCACCACATCGTTTGGGGGTCCCCGATTCGAGCCCGCGCACCAGAGGTCACGCATTCAAAGGGTCACTCTGAAGTGTAGCTGGCCCCCGCCCAGCGCGACCGCCTGCTCGCTGCCAGAGTACTTCGGGTCGTTCAGCCGCTGCTTCTCCCGGATGCGCGAGACCTCGCCGGGCAGGGGAGGTGTCCCCCTCGACCCTTTCGCCTACCTCGACCCTCTCTCTAGTCCTACCTCGAGCCTCCCGCGTGATTACCTCGACCCTCCATGCCCTACGTCCAGTCCCCATCCGCCCCCTCGAGCCTCTCACATGCCTCTGCCCTCCCCCGAGCCTCGCGCACGCACAGCGAGAAGTTCAGCACGTGGGACAGCGTGATGAACCTGGGCACCCGAGCCGCACCGTGCTGCATGAAGAAAAGAGGCCCGCCGCGCGCGCGCGCGCAAGGTGGCAGGGGAAGGGGGCCGGCCTGCCGAGAAGGCGGGGAGACATCCTAGAAGAGCTCTGCCCCCTCCGGAAGGCCTCCGGGAAGGTGTTTCTCCCCAGGCCCCCGACGTCGTGGATCCTGCTCATGACGTGGGCCCCCAGAATGACTCCACCCATTCCCCGAGGCCGAAGACGTCAAACCAAAACCTTCCGTCGTGATTTCTGTCACGGCGCGAGGGGTTCCGGGTTGGAGGGCAGGGAGGGCTCCCGCGAGGCGGGCGGCCCCCTCCCAAACGCCGAGGGCGAGCTGTGCGCCCGCTGAAGACCTCGTCTGCTCAAGCCCACAGCGATGCTTGAGCAGGGACCGACCGTCCCGGCATTCCTTTAGTCCTACCACGAAGTGTTCTTAGAACCCAAAAATGTCCGAAGAACCAAAACAATGTTCTTAGAACATAAACCCGATGTGTTAAAACAAGACCGTTCCAGCCAGAAATGTTCTAAGAACATCTCGAGGAATCCACAAAAGGTTCTTAGAACATTGTTTGGTAGGGCTATAGGCGAGCGAGGACGCTTCGCCACTGCTTGAGATGCAGCCCCCGACCCTCTGGGCCTCCGGCGACTCGATCTCATCGGGCCGCCGGCCGCGCGGACTCCCCTTCTGAGCCCGCTCGTCATCCGAGCGCATTCGGCCGCCGAACGGGCTCAAGGTCGGAGACATTCGGCGGCCGAACGGGCTCCCTTCCCACGACCCTGTTGGAACCGAGCCCGTTCGGCTGCCAAATCGGCGGCCGAACTGGCTCAGGCGCCGAGCGGGCTCAGGAGGGAACCCCGGGGGCCCCATGGGCGGGAGCAAAGCACATCGGCACCACCACATCCTCCTCGTCATCCTCTTCCTCCTCCACCACCACCACCAGCGCGAGGAGCCAGGGAGGATCCTCCTGGTGGTGTGCCCCCCCCCCTTGATCGAGACATCCCCCATCGACAGCCTGAGGAAGCATCCACCCCTCGCTGGAGGCGGCACCCCTGGTGGTGGTGGTGGTGGTGGTGGTGGTGCTGCTGCTGCTGCTGCTGCTGGTGGTGGTGGTGGTGGTGGTGCTGGTGGTGGTGGTGCTGGTGGTGGTGGGTGGGTGGTGTCGCTGTTCTGTCCTCCGACTGGGCTCCCCTCCCTGCTGGCGGCGCGCACAGGGGGCAGGGGAGGGGAAGGCGTCTTGGGGACCTGTTCTTAGAAGGCGCCGCCCTGTACACGAGAGCAGTTTAATACACCTCGGATGTTTTAAACTATGGGATGTTTAAATATTTACATGATTAAGGCATGAATTCATGTATTGCATGAACTCAATTGCTGTTTTTTGTGTACTAATCCCTGCATTTAAAAATCATGATCCGCACGCGGAGCATGTACCAAACACGGACTGTATGTGTATATATTCATATATATAATAAGAGTATATAAGAGAGAGAGGGTGTGGCCACGCCCCTTCTACGAATAGGGTGCTTCTGAACCGCCTTCCGCCCTCCGTCGGGCGGCGCCAGGCCCCGCAAAACGGCCCGCCCCCGCGCAGAGAGCCACGGGAACAGAACTCTGGCGCTGCTCCTCGAGCCGCCAGAGGACTGGGCTCCTCCTCCTCCTCCGCCCCAACCCCCTCCTCCTCCTCCTCCTCCTCCTCTCCTCCTCCTCCTCCTCCCCTCCTCCTCCTCTCCATCCTCCCCCTCCTCCTCCTCCTCACCTCCTCCTCCTCCTCCTCCTCCTCCTCCTCCTCCTCCTCCTCCTCCTGCGCTCATTCTCATCATCATCATCATCTCATCATCATCATCATCATCATCATCATCATCATCATCATCATCATCATCATCATCATCATCATCTCATCAATCATCACATAATCGCATCAGCATCAGCATACAGCATCATCATCATCCTCATCATCAGAATCATCATCATCATCATCATCAGCATCATCATCATCATCATCATCACCATCATCATTATCACATCATCATCTCAACCATCATCATCATCATCCATCATCATCATCATCATCACAGCTCAGCATCATCATCATCATCATCAGCATCATCATCATCATCATCATCATCAGCATCATCATCATCATCATCATTATTCATTCCTGCTCATCCTCCTCATCATTCTTCAGTCCTCCTCCTCCTCCTCCTCCTCCCCCTCCTCCTCCTCCTCCTCCTCCTCCTCCTCCTCCTCCTCCTCCTCCTCCTCATTCCTCCCCCTCCTCATCCTCCTCATCATTCCTCCTCCTCCTCCTCCTCCCCGTCCTCCTCCTCCTCCTCGTCCTCCTCATCCCCCTCATCCTCCTCATTATTCATTCATCATTCTCCTCCTCCCTCTCCCTCCTCCTCCTCCTCCCCTTTTCCTCCTCCTCCTCCTCCTCCTCCTCCTCCTCCTCCCTCCTCATCCTCCTCTCCTCCTCCTCCTACTCCCCCTCCTCCTCCTCCTCCTCCTCCTCCTACTCCTCCTCCCTCCTCCTCCTCCAAATACTCCTCCTCTCCTCCTCCTCCTCCTCCTCCTCCTCCTCCTCTCCTCCTCCTCCTCCTCCTCCTCCCCATCCTCATCCTCTTCCTCCTCCTCCCCCTCACCCTTACCCTCCACCTGACCCTCCAGCTCAATCCTCAAGACTGGCCCCCAGACTGGCCCCTCGCGCTCTCATCTGGTCGCCCCTTGTCTGAATGAACACCTCTTATGAAGACGGAACTTGGAGGAAGGGTTGATTGCAAAATCATTGATGAGTCTTTGGCTTACACTGGTCCTCCTTCTCCTGTTTACGTCGGGCAAACAGAATGGCAAAGCTTGTTGCGTTCAAGTCCTTCTCCTCCTCCTCCTCCTTCTCCTCCTCCTCCTTCCTCCTCCTCCTCCTGATTCATCCTCCTCCTTCTCGTCCTCCTCCTCCTCCTCCTTCTCATCCTCCTCCTCCTCCTCCTCCTCCTCCTCCCCCTCACCCTGAACCTCCACCTCCTCCCCCTCATCCTTCTCCTCCACCTGACCCTCCAGCTCAACCCTCAAGACTGGCCCCCAGACTGGCCCCTCGCGCTCTCATCTGGTCGCCCCTTTTCCTTATACAAACACCTCTTTATGAAGACGGAACTTGGAGGAAGGATCGATTGCAAAAATCATTGATGAGTCGTTGGCTTACACTGGTCCTTCTTCTCCTGTTTTACGTTGGGCAAAGAGAATGGCAAAACTTGTTGCGTTCAAAACCTTCTCCTCCTCCTCCTTCTCCTCCTCCTCCTCCTCGTGCTTCCATGCACCGCCAGCCCAGGGTGCGCTGCACATCGGAGCTCGAGGCGGCCATTTGGTGGAGGCATCGCACCGCGGTAACTGGTGCACGAGCTGCTTTGAAGACAAGCGTGCTCTGGTCGCATGCTCCAAATCTGCCCGGCGCGACCTGAAGGACTGGGCGCGCGTCTTCATCCTCATCCCTCCAGCCGACGCCGAAACCGCAGAGCGAGGGCGTGGCCATACTATGAAGCTTTCTGGGTGCCTCCTTGGCGGAGAGAGGCGTCGGGTAGGCGAGAAGGAGAGCGGTTTGAGGAGATCCAGCGCCTCAGGTTGCGGCGGTGCCACTGGATGGCCGAGTACTTCTCGAACTTGAGAATGCCGACCTGACCGCGGGGCCGTCGGCACGGGCGCATCGCATCCACAAAACGCGTATTGCGCTGCGCTGCACGACCAACGAATGCTGCTTCACCAAGCGTCCTCTAGCCTAGCAGAACGCACAGCTGAGTGAGGGCGCAGCAACACTGTGGGAAAAAACACACACAAAAAACACACACACATATACTGTGTGTGTGTTTTTCCCACAGTGTGTGTGTGTTTGTGTGTGTGTGTGTTTTTCCACAGTGAGTTTTTTTTGACACAGCAGTATGCCTGGCGAAGCCCCCTCACATCCTCACGACTCGGCCTCCCCGAGGCCGCGGCCGTCCGTTGCGCTTGCCGGCTCCTAGCATGTTGTTTCTATTCCTTGGGATAGCACGCGTGAGGGGAGCGGGGGCGGGGGGAGGGATACCGCAACGCACCCCTCCATGGCGCCTGGTGCGTCGCCCCCGGGCACGCCGGGTGCGGGTTATCCGTCCCTGTGAGCACACGGAACGCTATGGGGGGTGCACGGCCTGCTGCGTGCGCAACAACCCATGCTCACACCAGTGCCTATGTGCACCACGCTGCCAATGCGAACCTCAATGCCTGTGTACGCAGCGGCGCTTGTGTACTCAGCAGCTGCTGCGGCGGCTGCTGCGGCAACATGATCTGTGTGCCCAGCACCGGAGTACACCACACAGCATGTATACACAAGGCCTGCGCACATTAACAATGCCACGATGCAAGTGTACACCACAGTGCTCGTGTACAGCACCACGCCTGTGTACACCACAGCGCCCGGATACACCACGATGACTGTGTACGCCAGGGTAGCCGTGCGCATCACAACGCATGTGTAAACCACAACGCCTACGTACACCACAACGCTTGTGTGCACCACAGATGCTGCTTCAACATCATCTGTGTGCACCACGGCGTACATACACCACGAAGCCTGTGTACACCTCCAGGGACTCGACGTGGCCCACATCCAAAATATCGCAGGGGGCACCGTATTAAATTGGTTATGTTAGTTATGTGCGACACGTTTCGTTCTTGCCCGGGTATGGTCACCCCAAATGGTGGGTCCACAGCCTATGCTCATCGCATACCAACAGCCTGTCCATACCGGCTTGTGATAGACTCCCTTGTCCCTCCTCCCCCCTCCTCCTCTTCCTCCTCCTCCTCCTCCCCCTCCTCCTTCCCCTCCTCGTCCTCCTCCTCCTCGTCCTCTTTGTCCTTCGTGGGCAAGAGAAGTGCCTGCGAATGCCGCGGTGCGCCTGTGCAACGCAGTCAAGCCGCTTGCGCACACCACAAGGCGAGGGAAGCTGGACCGTGCCAGTACCACGACCGCCTGCGATTGCCATGACAGCATGCCGGACCCAGCCAGCGCCACAACACCCTGCGATCGCAGCAATGCCTGCGAGCGCCGGCAGTGCGCCTGCGAGCACAGCAATATGTTGGTGAACACCGCAGCGTGCCTGCGGGGACACAATACGCATGTGAGCGCCAACGGCGCGCGAGCACCACGGCATGCAAAGTACGCGTGGCCACCGCGCTGGCCTGCGAACGCCACCACACGCATGTGAGCGTTGGGGGGGGGGACGCACACCAGGTCCCCCATAAGAACAATAACAGTAAGAGTAGCAACATTGATACGAATACTAACAATGATAATGCGGGCAAGACCCTCAGTAACAATCAAAATAATGCGTGAAATACTAATGCTAAAAATAAACATAACTAATGATGGAAATAATGCTAAACAACAGATAACAACAGTAGTAACCAGCATGGTAATGATCATGGTCCTAAGAAACATGATAACAGTAGCAATCGAAATAATTATAAGAGTAACAATAATAATAATGATGCTTTGTCGTATCATAATCACTGTACGAGCACGGACACGCGGACGACCACAGAAATTGGCGACGGCAGAAGACGGCATCAGTCGGGCGACGTCGGCTGGCCACCACACCGATCCTGGCCCGGCCCATCCTATCATGGGCCCAGTATCGGACAGGCCATGGCGGGGACAGTTGGGGACAAGAGCGGCCGAGCGGCGTGAAGCAGTTTTGATCCCAAACGAATGAGGAGCCCCTCAATGACAGACAGCACTACTCGGAGGAAGAACTGTTTCTCCTTATCCCTCCTCCTCCTCCTCCTCCCTCGTTCCTGCAGTGGGCTTCTCGAGCGCTCCCTGCAAAAACGCGTTTTGTCTCGGGCATTGAGAAGTCCCCCAGGATTTTCGGTAACGTTCCCATGGTCTTGGACATGTTGGGAGGTTTCTTGGTGTACGGGTTTAGAAAGCTTCCGAAGGCTTTCGTTCGGCTTGGGATAATTTCTGGAAGCGTCTCCATATCTGCGTCATGTTCGTAATGTTCGTTGTTGTATGTTCGTCGTTCTCTAAAAATATCCCTCAACATTCCGCACATGTCGTCGTAATGTTGTAATATTCGCCGTCGATGTCGTCGTCGTCGTCTGTTCGCTGGTGCTCTAAAAGGTTCCCACGAGGTAGTATTCGTCGTCGTCTGTTCGCCGTGGTCTGCTCGTCACATGTTCCGCAAAAACCTCGAACATTCCGCAATCTTCGTCGTGCTCGGAAAAGTTCCCAGACGCACAGGAGGAGGCGGGCGAGGGGTCACCACGCCGCCGCCCCCTGACACACACACACACACACACACACATATATATATATATATTTTTTGCAAAGTCCGCGGGCGCAAACGAGCCGAAGCAGGCGCAGGCGCCGGTCGGCGCTGGGAGCGAATTGGGCACGAAGGAAACAGAGGCCTCCAAGATGGGATCCGAGCAGGTAGGGTGAGAGGATCACTGAAGGAGCCCTGGGACACACAAATAAATACACACTAATCAAAATATTCCCCATATTTTCCCATATTTTCTGTGCTTCTGTCTTCCCCCCCCCACTTCGCATATTTTCCCATCTTTTCTTAGGAATCGACGATTAATTGTGTCTGTGTTTTTTCCCCTCCTCAATCACGCCGTATGGCTTCACATCGAGCCGCATCGCCGATGCACCGGCGGTGCGACGCGACCCTCCGGCCCCATCCGCTGGGGCCCCCTCTTGGAGGCTTATTAAAGGAAAGCGGGGAGACGGCAGACGGGGAGGGGCCGGGGGCCGCTCGGAACTGGAAGTACTTCGCGGGCGTGCCGCAGTTTACCAGCCTGGAACATATCCCTATCCCTGTGCTGGGCATCTCCTCATAACGATGCCAATCTCAGGGATTCCCTTACTTTTTTTGAAGGCGCATCCCTGAGATTGTCATCGCTTCTTGGCGCGTCAATCTTAGGGATGCGGATAAGTTCGAGGCTGGTAAGCACTGATGCGCGAGCGCGAGATCGCGCGGCGGCGTGGGAAGCAGCGGGTCAGGTCGGAGACCCCGGACTGTGAGGTGGGAGGCCTTGAATGAAGGGGCCCTGGGACACACAAATAATTAGACACAAATAAAAAGATTCCACATACTTTCCCATATTTTCTGGATTTTTGTCTTCCTCCCCCCTTCCCATATTTTCCCATATTTTCTGGGGAATCGACGATTAATTGTGTCTGTGTATTTTTCCCCTCCTGATTGAAAAGGTACCCGGCGAGCATGGCGTAGCCGAAAGCGCAGCGGCGCGGGGGCTACTTGACCTGAAACACGAGGGACAGACCGCCAGGGCAGCCGACCGCCTGAGCGTCGTCCAGGGCGGCGTGTTGGCGCCTGCTGGTGTTCAGGGCAGCGGGGCTGGGTGCTTGGTGGGCCCAGAGCTCTTCGTCCGGTGCCTGGGTGGTGGCGGCCTCTGGGCTGGTCCTCACCGGGCTGGGGCCCCACCGCGCTCCAGCCATCCTGATGTTGAGGGTCCAGATCAGGCGTCTCCGCTCTGGTGGGGCTGTCGGGCGTAATGCGGGATGACGATTATCAAAAACATTTGGGGAGAACGATTTAAAACATAGCTTTCTGCGATTTCTGCACCATTTTCTGACTGGAGGAGAACGATGAAAAAATAAATTGTTCCAGCCCGCGGCCGGTTTTTTCTAATCGTCATCCCGGGCGCCGCCGCGTGAACACGACCCCCGGTCATCTATGAATCGCCATCCTCCATTGCTGGGAACTTCGGGGCCGTGCCCGCCGAAGGTCACTTTGCCTGGCCGCGCGCCCTTCGGCAGAGGCCTCGAGATCGCCGGCCGGCCGAGGGGTGCCAACGGGGGGCTCGTCGTGCGCCGGGCCCTCGCTCTGCCGCAGTGGCGCCCCGCGGTCGACCGCCGGCGCTCCGACGGAGCCCGCCCCGCAGCCTCGGCGTCGGCGGCGGGGAGGTTCGGCGGAGTGGGGGAGGAGGAGGAGGAGGAGGAGGAGGAGGAGGAGGAGGAGGAGGAGGAGGAGGAAGAGGAGGAAGAGGAGGAGGAGGAGGAGGAGGAGGGGGAAGGAGGAGGATCCGTTGGACAAGGAAAGTCCAGGGTCTGGAAATTGGTTGAATTCCCACCGCAGAATGACTCGGGAGTGGCCAAAGAGGGGGGTGTCCAAGAGGGGGGGGGTGCAAATCATGACCGGCGGCATGTGCGCGGCCCAGCGGGGGGGCCAGGGACGTGATGAGATAAGAAGGGGCGCCATGAAGTCTGGGGGAAAATCATGGCCCCCGCCATGACATCCACCCCCCCCCTAGTCATCACCCCCCTCTTTTCCGCCCCCGACTTCTGGGCCGCCAGGGCGCCCCCCCGGGGAGAATCGCTCTCGCAGCCCGGAGCCTCGCCTCGCAGCGGGGGTTGGCGGCGGTGGGACCGGACGCTCTCCCGACCCGCTCGCGCCCGAGGATGGCCACAGGGGCGCCTCTTGGCCTTTGGCTGCCCAGGCCAGACCCGTGTCCCCTGGCCGAAAGTCTGCGAGAGAGCCGCCAGCAGCACCAGTGGCCACTTGCCACTGGAACCAGCACCCAGCACACAGCACACAGAACTACTCCCTCGGCAGGCTCGTGTCGTGGCGACCCCGGCGTTGGTTTCTGACACCGCGTGGTCGTTCAGCCTTTGGCGATCGGAGGCCATTCGATCCCGAGATCATTCCAGATTGGCTTATTCTGAACCACTCGCCGCCAGCGCCGCTGCCAGGAAGCAGGGTGGTGCTGGCCCGCGTCTCGCACACTTCACGCTGCCAGAGTTGCCGGCAGGGAGCTCACTGCAGTGTGCTGGCTCGCTGGCTCGCTTCTGGAGCACTTCGCGCAGCTAGCGTTGCTGCCAGCATAGCTGCCAGAGACCTCAGCTCGAGCGAGCACTCGCGCTTCCACTGGGCGTCGCGTTACCAACGATGTTGTCAGCATCGTCGTCGGCAAGAGTCTCGCTCTGAGCGTGCTGGCTCGCTGCCAGTTCGCTTCGCGTCGCCAGCGTTGGAGCCAATTCCGTGGCGTTGCTGAAGTAAACTCGCTCTGAGCACGCCTGCTCATGTCTGGCGCACATCGCGTTGCCAACGGTGTCGACGGAGAGCTCACTCCGAACGTGCCAGGAGCGACACCACCCCACCTACGGCCCCACGGAGCTTAGCGTCTAGCAGGGAATCTGGCGTGGGCTTTCGCGTAATACACGCTACGGCGCCCGATGGGCCGTAGCGCACCGTGGAGGGCCAAAGGTGGGGTGGTGTCGTTGGCCGTTGTAGAAGACACAAAAAAACGCCAAAAGTTTACGTTCATGGCGTGTTTTCTTCTTCGATGTTGGTCGGATTCCTCCTCCTCCTCCTCCTCCTTCTTCTTCTCTTCCTCCTCCTCCTCCTCCTCCTCCTCCTCCTCCTCCTCCAGTCGAAAGCTCCCAACCTGCGCACTCTTGCTTGCCTCGTGTGGGACCGAGGTCCCACGTTCGTCCTGCGGCTGAAGCTTGACCGCGATAGGCTTGATCGAACCGAATATGTCTCCTATGAAGGGGCCCTGGGACACACAGATAAACAGACACAATCACAGGAGTCCCCATAATTTCTCAGGTGTTCTGGATTCTGTCTTCCCCCCACTGCCGATATTGTCCATATCTTCTGGGGGATCGACGATGAATTGTGTCTGCGTGGCTTTTCTCCCTCCCGATACTCAGCGGCTACCTTCCGGGACCCTCGCCCGACCAAGGAGGGCCGCTCGCTGCGCCAGGATACCCAGTGGGGGCGCGACTGGGCGGCCAGGAAGTCTCAAGAGCTCGGGCGGCCCAAGAGAGGGTCCAGCTGAAAGGGGGTGGTGCAATAGATTGAAGGGGCCCCAGGACACACAAATAAATACACAAATAAAAAGATTCCCCGTATCTCCCAATATTTTCTGGGGGTTCGTCTTCCCCCCCACTTCCCATATTTTCCCATATTTTCTGGGGAATCGACGATTCATGGTGTCTGTGTGTTTCTTTCCCTCCTGATAGATTTGGGGCAAGGGTATTGCAAATGCACTGCGCCGGAGAATTGTATTGCATTGTATTGCAAATAATGCATTGCACGCACGCCCCAAGTGCATCGGGAGTCCACAAAGGACGTACGCGCCCAACTATGTACATGAACACGGCCCCTTGACCCGCGAGACCGGCCGCGTGATACGAGTATTCGCGCAATGCGAAATCTCGAAAACAGCGTGGATTCATGTACGTGTACGTCCTTCTTTCGCTCCTGAGTGTATTGCAGCCCCGCAAATCTATTGCACCAAATCTATTGCTCCAGCCCCTTGTCGCTGGACCCCCTTTTTGGGGTCAACCCGAAAGAGGCCGCCAGGAAGGGGGGCCCAAAGGAGGGTCCCCAGAGCCGAAGGCGGCCCAAGAGGGCCTCCAAGGGAGCCCTGGGCGTCCACCAATAGGGCCCCAAGACGCTCCGGGAAGGCAAAGGATTCGCAATATCCAGGGTCCCCAACCCCAGAAGAAGAATTAGCCTGGCGAAGGACCCAACCATATGCAGTTGAGAGTACCGCAATTGTGAATATCTTCTTCGGTGGCGCTCCCTATGGGGCCACGAGCCGTATGAGGGGTGTGCCGAAATGCGTGGCAGTGTACACAACACGAACGAAGACGATAGGTCCGAATATGAAAGCTTGAGCGCGTGCGAGTCGGATCGCGAGCGAGTCTGATTATGAATGAATCTGCGCGCGATTGATTCTATTCGCATGAATGCGTGCATGGATACGCCCAGTGTAAATGTATGTATACGACTGTGAACAGTTTGGGTCTGCGTGACTCTCGGTACTCGTGACTCTGAGCGTCGCCTCTGCAGGGGGCTTCCCTGGGAACCCCGACGGCAGCGCCCGCGCGCCGCGACGCCCATGTCGGCACGCCACACACCTGGTGTGCGGGACGCATGCGGACGGCAGCACTGGGGCCTTCGGTGGAGCTCCCTGTGGGGCCACGAAACGTGTGAGGGGTGTGCCGAAATGGGTGTGCGGGACGCATGCGGACGGCAGCACTGGGGCCTTCGGTGGAGCTCCCTATGGGGCCACGAAACGTGTGAGGGGTGTGCCGAAATGGGTGTGCGGGACGCATGCGGACGGCAGCACTGGGGCCTTCGGTGGAGCTCCCTGTGGGCCATGTGAGGCCGAAATGGGTGTGCGGTAGGGGGGCCACGAAACGTGTGCCGAAATGCGGGACGACTGGGAGCTGTGCGGTGAAGCATGCTGTGCGGACGAAACGTGTGAGGCCTGCGGTGTGGGCCTTCGGTGGAGCTCCCTGTGGGGCCACGAAACGTGTGAGGGGTGTGCCGAAATGGGTGTGCGGGACGCATGCGGACGGCAGCCATGGGGCCTTCGGTGGAGCTCCCTATGGGGCCACGAAACGTGTGAGGTGTGCCGAAATGGGTGTGCGGGACGCATGCGGACGGCAGCACTGGGGCCTTCGGTGGAGCTCCCTGTGGGGCCACGAAACGTGTGAGGGGTGTGCCGAAATGGGTGTGCGGGACGCATGCGGACGGCAGCCATGGGGCCTTCGGTGGAGCTCCCTATGGGGCCACGAAACGTGTGAGGGGTGTGCCGAAATGGGTGTGCGGGACGCATGCGGACGGCAGCCATGGGGCCTTCGGTGGAGCTCCCTATGGGGCCACGAAACGTGTGAGGGGTGTGCCGAAATGGGTGTGCGGGACGCATGCGGACGGCAGCACTGGGGCCTTCGGTGGAGCTCCCTGTGGGGCCACGAAACGTGTGAGGGGTGTGCCGAAATGGGTGTGCGGGACGCATGCGGACGGCAGCCATGGGGCCTTCGGTGGAGCTCCCTATGGGGCCACGAAACGTGTGAGGGGTGTGCCGAAATGGGTGTGCGGGACGCATGCGGACGGCAGCCATGGGGCCTTCGGTGGAGCTCCCTGTGGGGCCACGAAACGTGTGAGGGGTGTGCCGAAATGGGTGTGCGGGACGCATGCGGACGGCACTGGGGCCTTCGGTGGAGCTCCCTGTGGGCCACGAAACGTGTGAGGGGTGTGCCGAAATGGGTGTGCGGGACGCATGCCGACGGCGCATGCGGACTGGGGCCTTCGGTGGAGCTCCCTGTGGGGCCACGAAACGTGTGAGGGGTGTGCCGAAATGGGTGTGCGGGACGCATGCGGACGGCAGCCATGGGGCCTTCGGTGGAGCTCCCTATGGGGCCACGAAACGTGTGAGGGGTGTGCCGAAATGGGTGTGGAGGAGGGAGGAGGGCGGAGGAGGAGGAGAGGAGGAAGGAGGAAGGAAGGAGACGCGGGGCACCGTCTCTTCAAAACGAGGACCCAACACCACAGGATGGTTGGGAAAAAACGCCTTAACCAAGAGGGCCCCAAGACGCTCCGGGAAGGCAAAGGATTCGCAGTATTCGCAGTATCCAGGGTCCCCAACCCCAGAAGAAGCAAAAACGGCATACGCAGAAACTGTTGGGGCTCCGCGCGGATTTCTGGGATCTGCGCTGAACCCCCCTCCCTGGCGCGCGGGGCGCGCCAGGGGCGGCGCCGGAGGCGCCGCTGGGGGGCCCAGCGCGGGTCCAAGAAATCCGCGCGGAGCCGCCGAAAGTTGATGCTTAACCCCATACCCACGATAATAATGTACCCCCCCCCCCAACACACATAAGAGTTGATTATCCACGGCCAATAAGAACTTGGTCGGGGGCGCGGGGCGCGGAGGCCGAACTTCATTATCACGGGGAAAAGTTCGTCATCAAGGTTACTTCCTTCTTATGTTGAGATAACAACACCAAGCGAAGCGAACACGTTTTTTTTTTCAGGATGTCTCAAGCGAAACCAATGTCCTTCTGTCTCTTTGTAGTTCTTTATGTCGTTATTTCTTTATTTATCTGTCTCTCACTCTCTCTGTCTCTCTATCTCTTTCTCCTCCTCCTCCCTCTGGCGCCCTGAACTTGTTTATCGCTGGGGGTGATTATCCTGGGACAACGAGGCAAGTGAGCTATACCATACACGAGCAAATGAAAACTTTAATTTTCATTCAGCGTTTACAAATTAAATATAATACGTTTTAAACTTTGGATGTTGCTATCTTCTTCTCCTCTCCTCCTCTTGCTCTTTCTCCTCCTCCTCCTCCTCTTCCTCCTCTACCTCCTCTTCTCTTTCTATATTTATATGTATATCTCTATCTTTCTTCTCCTCCCCCTGCCCCCCTGAACTTGTTCATCGCTGTGGTTGATTATCATGGGAAAAACGAGGCACCTGAGGAATCGCAATAGAAAGTCCAGGCTTCAGTTCTGTATTATAAAATGTTAAAAAGCCGACGCGTTCCTTCAGCCTCCTGAAAGGGCTCCAGAATTTTTCAATATTGTTTTTGAATTAAATGTCGATTTATTAATGGTGAATCGTATAGAAGTGAAGCTCAGAGGCGCGCGCGCACCTCCGAGCTTCAGTTCTGTATTCTAAAAATATTAAAAAGCCGACACGCTCCTTCAGGATGTTTCAGGGAGGACCACAAGCTAAGGATGTCTCAAGATATCCTCGGCTTTGGCTCCTCTGTTAACATCTTTATGCTGGCCTCTGGTGGGCAACTTTTATTATCACCCCGTAACCGCCGAACTTTATTATCTCTGGGGGGGTATTCTCGGGAGCATAGGGGTTATCGCGTTCTTTCTTCTTCTGGAACCCGCCCACGACGCACGGCGAGATCGTGGGGTGTGCCCACATGGAGGCCTGGAAGTGGGCACCAACGCCAACACAGGGGGTTGCCTCTACAGGGGGATGGTGATCCTAGATTTCAGTGTTGGTGGTAATACTTTGACCACCTTGAAAGCCAGAACATTACCACTACCACCGAGATCGGGATCCTCTTCCCTCGGTGGAGGCACAACGCCGATATTGGTCCCCGAGGCCTGCGAACATGTCCGCACTCCGCTGGGTCTCCCAGGAGCTCCCGAAAGAGGCGCCTGCTGTGCCCTTGGCGGCGCCCACAGCGGCGCGAGGTCCCGCTTGATGTCTGCGTGCGGATGCCACTCCGCCTTCGGATAGTGGTGACAACTGCGCGTTTGGCAGCGCCCACGGAAGCGAGGTCCCACTTGATCTTTGTAAGGCTCCTGCATTAAAGTTGGCCTGGCGAAGGACCCAACCATATGCAATTGTGAGTACCGTCTTTGTAAGCAACGCATCCGGTGGGGTTCCCTATAGGGCCACGAAACGCTGCCCTGGGTGCGGGAACCGCATGCGAACACCCCCATAGGGCCCTTCGGTGGAGCTCCCCATGGGGCCACGAAGCGCTGCCCTGGGTGGGGGAGAGCATGCGGGCACCCCCATTGGGGCCGTCGGTGGAAATCCCTATGGGAACACGAAACGCTGCCCTGGGTCGGGGAACCGCATGCGGGCACCCCCACTGGGGCCTACGGTGGAGCTCCCCATGGGGCCACGAAACGCTGCCCTGGGTGGGGGAACCGCAAGCGGGCAACCCCACTGGGGCCTACGGTGGAGCTCCCTATGGGGCCACGAAACGCTGCCCTGGGTGGGGGAACCACATGCGAGAGCAGCCACTGGTGCCTACGATGGAGCTCCCTATGGGGCCACGAAACGCTGCCCTGGGTGGGGGAACCGCATGCGGGCACCCCCTCTGGGGCCTTCAGTGGAGCTCCCTATTGGGACACGAAGCGCTGCCCTGGGTGGGGGAACCGCATGCGACCCCCTCCACTGGGGCCATCGGCGGAGCTCTCTATGGGAACACGAAACGCTGCCCTGGGTGGGGGAACGCATGCGAACACCCCCACTGGAACCTTCGGCGGGGCTCCCCATGGGTCTACGAAACGCTGCCCTGGGTGGGGGAACCGCATGCGAACCCCCCCACTGGGGCCATCGGCGGAGCTCCCTATGGGAACACGAAACGCTGCCCTGGGTGGGGGAACCGCATGCGACCCCCCCCACTGGGGCCATCGGCGGAACTCCCTATGGGGCCACGAAGCGCTGCCCTGGGTGGGGGAACCGCATGCGACCCCCCCCACTGGGGCCATCGGCGGAGCTCCCTATGGGGACACGAAACGCTGCCCTGGGTAGGGGAACCGCATGCGACCCCCCCCACTGGGGCCTTCGGTGGAGCTCCCTATGGGGCTACGAAACGTGTGAGAGGTGTGCCGAGAGCAGAGGCAAGGAGGGAGAGGAGGGAGGAGGGAGGGGGCAGCGGGGGGAGGAGACGCGGGGCACCGTCTCTTCAAAACGAAGACCCAACACCACAGGATGGTTGGGAAGAAGACACAACGCCATAAACATAAACTTTTGGCGCTCCGCGCGGGTGTCTCGGATCTGCGCTGGACCCCCCCCCCTCGCTGGCGCGCGCGGAGCACGCCAGGGGCGGCGCTGGGGGCGCTGCCAGGGGGGGCCCAGCGCAGATCCAAGCAGTCCGCGCGGAGGGCCAAAAGTCTATGTCTGTGGCGTTTGTTCTCCCGTCTTCTACGTAGCTTACACAGAAGACGACGAGGCGCCTCACGGTAAGGCGCCTTCTCGCCCTGCGCAGCGGCGCCTGCCGGGGGCCGACGAGAGGGCGGCGACGCGCTGCGCCAAAGGGCGACAGCGCCCACGCCGGCGAGCCTGTCCGCCAGACCCGCGCGGGGCGCCCTCCCGCCGGGCCTCGCACGAGCTCACCCGGGCGGCGGCACCTCTGCGCCGCTCTGGCGGCGCCCCGAGCCTGCGCGCAGCGGAGGGCCAGTCCACAGGAAGCCTTCCACGAGTCAGATGCTCATCCTGGGGACCTTCCTCTGGAGCCACTCGCTCCACTCCTGCGTCGAACCTGAGTAGAACCTGAGTCGAACCTGAGTCGAACCTGAGTCGAACCTGAGTCGAATCTGAGTCGAATCTGTGTCGAACCTGAGTCGAACTTGAGTCGAACCTGAGTCGAACAGATCCATGAGGTGGGCCCCAAGAAGGTCCCCAAAACGGGCATCGAACACGAGGAACCCAACCCTGGGACCCCAGGACGCCCATTGCCCTCTGGCGCGTGTGAGCGCCACACTTCCCGCAGCAAAGCCGTCGAGACCCCAGGACACCCAGGGCACCCCCTGGAGGCCAGCAGGCTGCTTCTTGGCCTGGGCCCCCACCGTGAGACACCCTTCCACGCGCTCTCCCAGAAGCTCACGACAGTGGGGTAAAACAGGGCTAGGATCGGGATAAATCGCTCCAGAGCGTTCCGGAGCGCTCTCAGAGCGTTCCGGAACGCTCTGGAGCGGCCGCGGCGCCCGATACACCCTCCAAACCCGCCGATTCTCAGAGATTTCGAGTTATCCCGATCCGATTTTGTCCCGATCTTCGCGTCGTTTGAGGGGGGCCGCAGCGCAACTGGCAGCGCCCGGCCCGGGAGGCGAGGCCCGGTGCGACCTGCAGCGCGGGCGACCTCGGCATCGCTCGGACGTCCATTTCCTGTGTTTTTTTCGGTTTCGTGCGTGGTTCTTTCGCCAAATGATCAAGGATGCTCCTCGATGGCCCTCGCCGAAGGAAAAATGCACACGTCCGAGCGATGCCAGGCGACCCCAACCTACCAGGCCACCCCAACCTAACCCGAAGACCCGAATTTCGGGTTGGGGGGGGGTAAGGGTTCCACATGTGTTTTCTCGATGTTCCTGAACCCCCCCCCCCACTGGAAATCGAGGGTAAATCTGAGCCTTCGGGTTGGGTTGGGGTGGTTTGGTGGGTGGTGACTGGTTCGACCTGCAGCAAAGGGCGACCAGTCCTCCGGACGTCTCCCGGGAGCGCGCGGGAAGACGCGGAGGCAGGTCTCGCGGCGGGCAGACCCTCGGAGAGGAGGCCGAAGCGGGGGCCAGGCGGGGCCTTGTCCACAGCCGCCGCCTGGGAGCCGACGTCCTGGTGCCCCAGCGGGCGGTGGGTATTTGGTAGTCCCCAAACGTGGTGGTGACAACACCTGGCGGTGAGTCTCGGGCGATTTGGTGTCACCACCCGGTTTGGGGACTCGTGCGGTTTTCCGAGGATGTCCCGAACGTTGGTGGGTCCAGGAGTCACAAAACCCGGCGGTGACCCCGCGTCCCCAAACCCAGCGGTGACCTTTTTGGGGATTCCAGGTCGCCACTTGGTGCCCCAGCGGGCGGTGGGTATGGACATGTTTTTAAGGGGCAAACTAACCTACCTCGCTTTTGACCACCCTCGCTTCCAAGAGACACCAAACGATGCCAAACTACGGCCTGTACTGGTCAGGCCGCTCGACGAGGAGGCGCGTGGTATGACTTGGTTATGCCTGGAAGCGAAAGCGGGAAAGGTAATTCACGCTGAGTTTTGGCCCCCGGGGGCCCGAATGCATCTGTATCCACACGCCTGCCGAGGTCCCCGAAAATTGGACCTCCAGGCGGTGGTCATGGATTAATTCCCGCCTCGGGTCGCTCACTTCGGATCAAACACCACTCCGCTAGCACCAGTGCGCTGGACCTCTCCAGAATCTTGACAGCGGCGACAGTTGCACAGTTGGCACTGCACGAGGAGAACGCGACACCGACAGGCTGGAAGACAACAGGGAGAAGGAGAAGGAGGAGGAGGAGGATGATGAGAAGGGATGGGCCCATATGGAGGTCCAACAGTGATCTATTCGATACACGGGGCCCCAAAAAGAATAGGGATTGGAGTAGAAACTGAATAGGCTCGATCTGATCCGTGTGTCGCCGGTTTGGCTCCCCAGATGCCAGATGGCTTCAGGACAGCCCCAGATGCCTCAAGACGACTCAATGTGTGTCCATGATTGCCCAATGGTGGCCCCAAGATGCCACCAACACCACCCCAGGTGGCCAAACAATACCCCAAGTCAGTCCCAAGATGTTCTTGCTAATCTTCAAGATTGCAACCGGAGGCCCCACGATAGCCCGAAATGTAACTTGAGATTGATCTAAGGTGGCCCCAAGAGGACCCAAGACGCCCCCAAGAGGCTCCTAAATCACAACAACAAAAAAAGTCCCAAGAGAGCCCCAAGGTGCTGCCAAGATAGATGCTACCTCGGCCTGGGGGGGCTGCTGCGGCAGAGGTCGCAGCCCTTCAGCTAATCTTCGCGGCTACCACCAGAGCCCACGTCGTCATGATCAAATGCCGCAGTCTGTCAACTGATGTTGATGTCCGATCATTTCGACCTGCACGGCGAAATTGCGCTTCCTGATACTTTCCAAGCATCCGGCAACAATCGCTCTCTGCACATCTTCATCCTCAACAAGTGAGGTCGCCCCCTGTGGTGTCAAGTCACGCTTGGCACAAAGGCGCTTCTCAATATCATGCTCTGGCTGAAACCACCCTGGCCTAACCCGCAACGTATCTTCCTCCAGACGCTGGTACTGTCCTGTGTGCGTTGTGCGTGCTAAGGCCGCCTCTGAAGGTGGCCCTGACGACACAACGGCTCGACGGCCTTTGTTCTGCGCCTGCAACTCCATGACCATCTTCCGCGTATGGTCTGTTCCATGACGGAGAACTTCGACCTCGTTCTTCCAATCGCCGTCGGTCTCAAGAATGGCCTTGAACCACGTCTTTTTCACACCGATTCTGGCAATCGACACATCTTCCTTCTCCTGGTCGACGCAAGCGACTGTGTGGATACAAATCAGCTGCCTTCGCATCCAGCTGGCGAGGCTGGTCAGGTTGGAGAATAGATCCACTGGAAACGGACTCCGCCACAACCTGTGCTCATTAGCGGCCTCGCCTGCAAACATCTCCGCCTGCGCGATGTGGCAAGCGAACGAATCGAAATCAGCGGCGTCCGTCCCACCTTCCTTGTTGTCGATGGCAAAGAGATGACCCATGATGCTCTGGCAGTGGCACCATGCTTGCACAAAAGCCTCATACGCCAGATCAGAAGGACGCCCCATGCTGAACATGCTGCCCGTGACAATCAGGACGCCAATGGCGACCACCATGTGAACTAGTACGCGGGCGGTTGCCTTAGTTTCAGTTATGTCATCGCAACCTTGCAGGAATGCATTAGTCCCGAATGCTGCTGCCAACAATCCAATGGAGCTGCATCGCGAAGTGTAATGATGCACAAAAAGGGTAAGCCATACGTACATGAAAACAACCGTGGCCAGGCATAGCTGTGCTGCTGGGTAACACCAGCCCAAGACCGCATACGCCAATGTGCCGAAAAACTTGCCAAGCACCACCAACTTGTCAGCCGGTCAAACATTTTGCCAGTGGGAGAAACGACAGAATGAGACAGGAGCACGGCGACTGTCGACGGTATGGTCGCGCCCTTCGCAACGATGATGCGACCATAACCGACATAATTGATCGAAAAGTGAGGTCCGTGCCACAAAACTGCGGTTCTTCGGAGCGAATATCGTGCTCTTGTCCAATACCCCAAGCAAGCACCCACCATAAGCTGCACCGCAGCATCTGCGAAGACGCTCTGCGAGAGGAGGATCGGTCGTCTGCCCATCTGTGAGCCACGTGCAATACATCTGCAAGCTGTCAGCGAAATCGCACAGGCAAAACATGAACACGTGCTCTGTAGCCAGCTGTCCCCTCAACTCTCGGGCATCGTCGTAGGGTTTTCCCCTGGTAATGTAGTCGATATATGCATTCACGTGCTTGTTGAGGTTGTCCTCGAAGCCTTCTACCACTTGCACTTGTAACCTCAACTGCTCCTTTTCGACCTCTGTGATGACTCCGTCATCAGCCTTCTGCAGCCCACTCTCCAGAAGCTCGATTGTGGAGGTGGCCAAGTCCACCACGGGGCCCTTGCAAGAGATCATCATCGACTGGTGGGACGCCTCAAACTTCTCCCTCTCGCAGGCGTCCACCACGTGACCTAGGAGCTGCAAGCACCTGGACAAAGTGCGGCTCAACTTGCTCAAGTTGGCGAGCCTCATCATGACTAGCCGGGGGCCAGACACACATGAAGTCAATACACCGGCCACCTCGAATGGTGTCACCTGCCTGCGCGGATGAGGAGTCCAAGCAGCAGGGCAACTTAGCACCCTGACAGTGGAGCACAATTGGCTCATGCTGACCTGACCCAGCCCTCGAAGTTCACAGCCTAGAGCCCTCCTGATGGCCTCCTGGTGGCCTCTTGGGGTCCTCCGCCCCCCGTGCCTCCATGTGGCTTGTGAGAGGCTCGCCGCAGGGCTGAAGTTCGTGTTTGTCCTGGCGGGTGTTGCCGAGATCTGGACGAAGGTGCAGCCAGGCATTTTTCGTTGGTCCAATTCGTGTGTGTGTTCTTTCCGGAACGCGCTGATATGCATCCGCCTCCGCGGGTGGGGTGGCTTCAACTACCATTCCCTGGGCGCACACGTGTATTTCTCACGTGTTCCAATAGGAAAAATCTTTCAATGATATTCAATTCAGGTACACGGCTACCTTCCGGTCCGCACCTTAGCCATGTTGGACGACACGCTGGCCCGATGTGGACAGTAATGGGCCTCTCGTGGGAGGGAGGCTCTCAAATAGTATTGAGGCCAAGGGGATCGCTCCAAGAAGCCCAAATCACCGAAGACACAGAATTTCCCACATTCTAAGTAGGGCTCTTGTTTTCTCTGGACAGCCCCGCGCTGGAAAGATTACTCACCTCACCCTCTCCTCCGATCCCCCTTCACACTCACGAACACACTACACCACGATCATCATAATCACGACCCCACCATGATCACCGACCATCATCATCATCCTCAGCATTGCCGTCGCCCTTCGTCATCATCACCATCCACCATCGTCGTCATCATCATCAGAATCAACACGACAGCGTCAGCGTCATCAATATCATCATCAGCATCATCATCATCAGCAGCATCATCACTCACACACTCCCGCATCTACACACACCACAGCCCGCACTCAATCGCACACTCACTAACCCACACACACACACACTCTCATACGGAGGCAGTCTCGGCCTGGAGCCTCGTCTACCCGTCTGTCAGTGAATCGCGAGGGTGTCTCGAGCGGGAGACCCCATCCCTGTGGGGTCCGCACCTCGTGCTTCTGATCCCCGGCGGCCATCGGCATACCGCAGCAGGCAAAGCACTTGAGCACCCCCAGGGAGCGAATCGTGAGAGTGCGTCGAGCGGGGTCCTCATCTCTGGGCGAATGGCGAGGATGTCTCGAGCGGGGGCCCTCTCCCCATGGCCCCACTCCACGCCTGTTGTCCCGGGCGGCCATCGGCATACCGCAGCGGGCGCAGCAGTTGAGCATCCCTGGGGGAGGAATCCTCATCTGCAGGGGAACGATCGGACGTCGAAGTCTCGAGAGGGAGCGCCCCCCCCCCCGATGGGGCTCGCACATCGCGTTTGCAATCCCAGGCGGTCATCGGCGTACCTTAGCAGGCATGGCACTTGAGCACCCATGAGGAGCGAATCGTGAGGATGTCTCGAGCGGAAGCCTCAACTGTGAGTGCATGGCGAGGAAGTTTCGAGCGGGAGACCTCTGCCTGTGGGGTCCGCACCTCATGTTTATAATCCCAGGCGGTCATCGGCATACCGTAGCAGGCAAAGCACTTGAGCGCCCCAAGGGGGCAAATCGTGAGGATGTCTCGAGTGGGGGTCTCATCTGTGAGTGAATGGCAAGGAAGTCTCGAGCAGGAGGCCTCTCCTCAGGGGGTCCCCGGTTCACGTCTGTGATCCCAGGCGTTCCTCGGCGCACCCTGGCAGGCGTAGCCCTCGAGCACCCCTTGGGGGCAAATCGTGAGGATCCCCCGAGCGGGAGCATCATCTGTGAGCGAATGACAAGGACGTCTCGAGCGGTACCCCCCCCTCCCAATGGGGTCTAGATTTCATCCTTGTCATTCCGAGCGGTCACCGCCAGAAGGCAGCAGGCACAGCACGTGGAGCATCCCCCCGGAGGTGCATGGTGAGGACGTCTCGAACGCGCGAGAGACTTGTCTGCGAGTGGCTTGCGAGGAGGAAGTCTCGAGCGGGAGCCTCCTCCCTGTGTTGGGCCCCCGCGTCATGTCGGTAAGCCCAGGCGGCCGCGAGCAAACTGCAGCAGGCATAGCGCTTGAGAACCCTAAGATAAGGTCGGGCATGTCCCCCTACAGGCGGTTTTGGGGCGAAAACTTAAAGATAGTCGAAACTATTCAAAATAACAAAACAATAAAAAATCGTCCCCAGACTATTGTTTTACAATTTGTGAATATTCCCCGGAGAGGGACAGGCCCGACTTAACCCTAAGACGGCAAATCGGGAGGATGTCTTGAGCGGGAGCCTCGTCAGCGAGTGATTCGTAACGAAGCCTTGAGCGTGTCCCCCACCCCCCATGGGATCCGCACTTCGTGTTTGCAACCCGAGGCTGCCATCGGCGTACTGCAGCAGGCATAGCACTTGAGCACTCCCAAGGGGGCAAAATCGTGAGGACGTGTCGAGTGAGGGCCCCGTGTGTTACGGAATTGCGAGGGTGTCTCTATCGGGTGCCTCCCAAGTACCATCGACCCCTCAGAGCGCTCCGGTTACACAGGTCCCACAGATCGTACAGGCCGAACAAATGTTACAGGTCCCACAGATCCCTCTGACCCAAAAGGCTGCACAAGTCGCACATGTCCCACGGGTCTTACAGGTCCCACGTGCCCGCCACAGATCTCGAAGGCCCAACAGATCTCACACGTCGCACGAGCTCCAACGCTCCCACAAGTCTGACTACCTCCCAGACCACCCCAACCCAACCCGAAGACCCGAATTTCGGGTTGGGGGGGGTAAGGGTTCCACACGTGTTTTTTCGATGGTTCCCGACCCCCCCCCACTGGAAATCGAGGGTAAATCTGGGCCTTCGGGTTGGGTTGGGGTGGTTTGGTGGGTGGAGAAAGTCCCACAGGTCCCCGCAGGGCCCACAGGTCTAAGAGGTCTGACAGGTCCCACAGGCCCAAAAGTCAGGCCGCAAAGGTGCATACCACAGGCTCCACAGGCCCAACAGGGCCCACACGTTCGACGGTCCGCAGTGGCCCCATGGTGCTCACGAGTCCCGCGGGTCCCGCAGGGGCCACAGGCCTCACAGGTCCCACAGGTCCCACGGGTCCCACAGTTCCCGCAACTCCCACGGGTCCGCAACTCCCACCGACAGGTCTCACAAGTCCCACAGATCGCACCCAGGTATTCTGGCATCCTGGCATCATCGCCATCGTTCCTTCTTGACGATGATTGGTCTCATGCGCACGAATGAGATTCTCATGTGGGGCCCTTGCGTCGAAATAAGTCCTTTTCGCATACTCGCCGTTTCTCTCTGAAGGGCGCCCAAGGCGGCCCACGACGCCGCCAAGGTACCCATGACGGCCCCATGAGCCCCCCAGACAGCCCAAAGAGGTCCCCAAGAAGCCCCACAGAGGGCCCAAGAGGGGGAGCCCGACCGCACTTCTATGCCCCGAAATGGCCCCCGAGACGGCCAGCTCGCTCCCGAGAGGCCCCCAAGAGGCCCCTAAGAGGCCCCCACAGGCCCCAAAGAGGCCCTAGGCTTCTCTCACGAGGCCTCTTGCCCACGACCCAGGCACGGCGGCGGGATTGAAGGGGCCCTGGGACACACAAATAAATACATACAAATAAAAGGATTCCCAATCTTTTCCCATATGTTCTGGGTTTTTGTCTTCCCGCCCAATCTTCATATTCTCCCATATTTTCCTGGGACTCGACGATGAATTGTGTCTGTGTGCTTCTTTCCCTCCTGAGGGCTGGGCGGGCCGCAGGCCATCACACATCGCGTGCGATGCCGCAGGCATCCCCTCCCTCACGCGACCGAAGAGCCTGCACGGGCGTGCCGAAGCTTCGCCGCGGTGCCGCCCGTGGCCGCCCGTGGGCGCCCATGCGTGGGGTGGGCCGGCGTGCAAGACGGCCCACCCCAGAAGGAGGGAGGAGGGAGGAGGGAGGAGTTAGGGAGGAGGGAGGAGGGAGGAGGAAGGAGGAGGAGGAGGAGGAGGAGGAGGAGGAGGAGGAGGAGGAGGAGAGGAGGAGGAGGAGGAGGAGGAGGGAGTTAGGGAGGAGGGAGGAGGAGTTAGGGAGGAGGAGGAGGGAGGAGGAGTTAGGGAGGAGGGAGGAGGGAGGATAGAGGAAGGAGGAGGAGGAGGAGGAGGAGGAGGAGGAGGAGGAGGAGGACCCCCCCAGAAGGCCAGAGAGGGTCCCAGAAGAGCCCCAGGACAGCCCCACGATGGCCACTCCAGGAGCTGGCGCGGAGCACCGGCCCACATGCCTCGTGACACCGAGCGACGGCCACGTGTGCACTGCGTTGACGGCATCAGCGCAGATCCCTACCCCTGTGCTCCCCCTGTCGTTGCGTCCACAGGTGGGGGCAATGATTGAGGACTGCCATTGCACTGCTGCTCGCTTCTATTGCAGAAACTGTCTCGCCCTGCCACGCGAGCGCCTACACGTTCTGCCAATACGCCTGGAAATTCTGGCCGCACTGGGCGTATCGGAAAAGCAGGGGGCGGCGGTGATTCGCCAGAGGTGGTTTCGATACTACCTCCCAGTAGCTGCCTTCCAACAGCTCGTTGAGACTGAAGATCTCGGTTTCGACAGTTCTCATAGAGCGCAGCATCTTGGTCTTGCTTATCTCGTCTGCTTCCTGGGCGGTGTAGAACTCGATGGTGTTTTCCCAGTGGCGGGCGAGCGCGTGGGCGATGACCGCAGCACGGTCACTCGCTCCCATCATGCAGGTGATCGGGTAGGGGAGCGAGACTATCAGCAGTGCCAGCACAAACCCGCTGAACATCTTCATGACACCCAAGGACACGCCGCCGCCCCAATCTTTCCACTCGTA